TACACAATGGAGTATTACTCTGCATTAAAAAATGACAAAATCATAGAATTTACAGGGAAATGGATGGCATTAGAGCAGATTATGCTAAGTGAAGCTAGCCAATCCCTAAAAAACAAATGCCAAATGTCTTCTTTGATATAAGGAGAGTAACTAAGATCAGAGTAGGGACGAAGAGCAGGAGAAGAAGATTAACATTTAACAGGGATGAGAGGTGGGAGGGAAAGGGAGAGAGAAGGGAAATTGCATGGTAATGGAAGGAGACCCTCAGGGTTATACAGTGGAGGGGGTAGAAAGAGAGGAGGGGAGGGGAGGGGAGAGGTGGGGAGGGGGGAGGGTGGAGGATGGGAAAGGCAGCGGAGCACAACAGACACTAGTATGGCAATATGTAAATCAATGGATGTGTAACTGATGTGATTCTGCAATCTGTGTATGGGGTGAAGGTGGGAGTTCATAACCCACTTGAATCAAAGTGTGGAATATGATATGTCAAGAAATTTGTAATGTTTTGAACAACCCACAATAAAAAATTAAAAAAAAAAAAAAAGAATCAGCTGAGATTTCTCAGGGTATCATTTTTGGGAATTTGTGAAAGCCTCTTAGCTTCTCTTGTGCCATCTGCTAGGACAGGTCAAGGTCTTGCTGATCATGTGTGGTTTTTCTTGGAAGTATTAAAGACATTTCCCTTTCCAATCGGCTTCCCATTCTCTAAGGTCTTATTGTCCCTAGGTTGGGAGGTCATGTGCCTAGAGTTGTAAAGCCCTAGAGAAGTCCTTTCATTCCCTGGGTTTGAGCTGACTTCAGAGAGCAAGAGCCACCAAATATTGGCTATTTTCCTTGGCCCTTTTTATCTTTAGTCTCTAAGTTTGAGTTTTAAGTAGCAGTCTTAAAGTAGGAGTACTGGGTTTTAACTTTAGTGTCTATAATTTTACAGTTATTTTCCTCTTTCATTTAATTGGGTTCAATATTATACTGGAATTCAGCCTTATGTTTTGTCTAGCTATAGGTGATGACTCATTATCTCAAATTAACTCAGGTATTATTACAGAAGTTGTACTTCTATAAAACACTGATCGACAACAGTTATAAGGTTTACAAGGAAAATACAAAATGAAATTAACAAGAGTAAAAAATATTTAGTTTACATTACAGCTATGTACCAAGAAACTTAGATTTTGTAATCTCAAACCTTTACTTACCTTTATGTTATATTCCCTTTTTAAGGTCACAGTAATCCTTTGAGCAAACAAAAATCTATCTTTTTAACTTAACTCCAAATGAAGGAAATGTTTCTTGAAGAGAGGGTGTTTTGTCTGGTAAAGTAATATTCTTGTGCTAAAGTCTAGGATGAAAGAAGGAGAAAACCAAAGGTATAAACAAAGTTGTAGAACATTTAAGTAAGTTACACAAGTTTTGTGGAGGGTAAATCTCAAAAAGTTTGTGTGACATTAAGTTGGCTATAATCAGCACAATCAGTTGAAGTTATTTAAGTGTTTTTTAAGGTTAAATATTAATGTACTGATATAAATCAGAATTTAATTTTCTATGTGTTGAAATAACAAGGGTTTCTTAAAACACTGGTCTGCTCATATCTTTCAAGATAATTTCTGGGGCTGGGGTTGTGGCTCAGAGGAAGAGTGCTTGCCTAACATGGGTGAGGCACTGGGTTCAATGCTCAGCTCCATATGAAAATAAAATAAAGGTATCTTGTCCACCTACAACTAAAAAATAAATGTTTTAAAAAAAGATAATTTCTGTGTCTTTTGGGTTTTATTATTTGGGGGAACTAATCTTAAAGGGATTAATGTTTGTACAACTTTGGTTAAGTAAACAACTGTCATTTTAGATTATTACATTACATTACGGATTCTAAATTTTTATTAAAAGTTAATCTTGGGGGGCTGGGATTGTGGCTCAGCGGTAGAGCGCTCGCCTAGCACGGGCGGGACTCCGGTTCGATCCTCAGCACCACATAAAAATAAAGGCATTGTGTTGTGTCCATCTACACCTAAAAAAAAAAAATATTAAAAAAAAAAGTTAAACTTGGTTAACATAAGGACATCAGTGAGGCTGTTACTGGCTCTTAAAATTTTTTTTAATTTGTTCTTTTTAGTTACATATGATGGTTGAGTGTATTTCGACATATTATATATACATGGAGTACAACTTATTCTAATTAGGATCCCATTCTTGTGGATGTGCATGATGAGGAGTTTCACTGGTGGTGTATTCGTATGTGAACATAGGAAAGTCATACTCGATTGATTCCACTCTCTTTCTTATTCTCATCTCCCCTCCCCCTTCCTTGACTTCTTTGTCTATTAAATGTATGTACCAAAAAATATATTTTTATACCTGTAACTTTCCTTTATCTTTTGTAGTTTTGGACCCTTTCTTAAATTTATATTCTGAAACCATCCTCATGAATGCTATCTATGCATTTAATTTACATAATAAATTTCATCCCAGAAGACAGGTCAGACAATCTAGCATATACAAAAACTGTTTTGTTTTGTTTTTTCCTCCCAGGTTGCCTTCAAGGTTTTGGAGCACATGATATTTTGAGCCTGACCTATCTCCCTTATCATTATTATAATGCCATCAACTTAGTGAGTGCCACACTGTCAGTTGTACCCAGATTCTCCTTTGGGGCCTTTTTCTTATACTAAGCATATTGATATTCAGCAGAGGAGGCCCAGGGAGATGATGTGGATCTGCCTGGGGCGGGGCTGAGAAACCTTGCTGGAACTACCTGCCCGGGATTGAAAGGATTTAACCCTTTCTTTTGGTGTCCTGCTCTTCTTGCATGTCAGAGACAGTGCCGTTGGCACCTTCAGCTTAGTTTCTGACTGTCCAGACTCCCTATCATGCAACTGCATAAATGCCTATACATACAGAATCTTTTATATACTCTACCCCAGATGGACCAAGTCCAAGTCCAAGATTAAATAATAATAATCCAGAAAACTATTTTTTAAGGCCCAATTGTGTTACAGTAAAACATCTTTCTTTTAGAAAGACTTGTTTGTACCTACAGGTGGCCCATTCAGCCAACATCTTTCTTTCTAAGAGACTACTGGTAAGGTCAATGTAGTATGGCCTATGTGTTAAAGGGCCATAACAAATACAAAATAAATAAATAAATAAATAGGAAAAAAAATCCACCCCAATAGGTGAAATGACTTATTTATTTATTTATTTTTTGTAGATGGACACAATACCTTTATTTTATTTATTTATTTTTGTGTGGTGCTGAGGAATCGAACCAGTGCCTCATATGTGTGAACCAAGTGCTCTACCTCTGAGCTACAATCCCAGCCCAAGAGATGGCTCTTTTCACAGGCATCTGTTAAATCTTTAGCAAAAGCCTGGCACAGGGGTGTCCACATTTCGAGAAGGAGTAGTCAGACGCCTAGAGACAGTTATTTACAATCTGAAGGGTAGGGACGGTGATTAATTAGGTTTCCTGAAGAAAGGCTGATAGAAAGGGAGGGGAGTTAACCCTTTTCCCAGGCATGGGTTTGTTAGCATATATTTTTATAATTTCATTTTATAATCAGGTCTGGTTTTGCCATCACAAGACTGCTGGTTTTACAGTGTCATTTTTTTTTTTTTTTTTGGTACCAGGGAGTGAACTCAGGGGCACTCAACCACTGAGCCACATCCCAGTCCTATTTTGTATTTTATTTAGAGACAGGGTCTCACTGAGTTGCTTAGCACCTCGATTTTGCTGAGACTGGCCTTGGATTCATAAACCTGCTGCCATAGCTTCCCAAGCCACTGGGATTACAGTTGTGTACCACTGTGCCTGGGTTTACAGTGTCCTTTTTGTTAACAGTAGCAGCAAGAGTCCTGATCAATGAGCATTTTGTTGGGAGGCTTAAGTATGTCGGGTTATTCATTTATTTACTTTGGAAAAGCATTAACTTGTTTAGGGTGTTACTCTGGTTTTGTTTAATTTAGTTTTTGAGCCACATCTTTATTTATTTATTTTGGTTACTTGGAATTTAATCCACCATTGCTCTACCACAAAGCTACATCTTCAGCCTTTTTATTTTTATTTTGAGACAGTATTTCATCAATTGCTGAGGGCCTTGCTAAATTGCTGAGGCTAGTCTTGAACTTGCAATCCTCTTATCTCAGCCTTCCGAGTTGTTGGGATTAGAAGTATGCACTACCACTACTGGCTTATTTTTTGAGATGGTCTTGCTAAGTTGCTGAGATTGGACATGAATTTGTGATCCTCCTACATCAGCCTCTCAAGACCCTGAGATTATAGGTGTGCACCACCACACCTGGCTCTTATTCTGTTTTTGTTCTAAGACCTTCCCAGAAAGTCTGGACAATTGCTATGGCTTTGTTAGTAGGGTTATTTCCCATTCAAGCCTAGAAGTACCAGATTCCTGATTTCTTGCTTAAGGTTTTCGTAAAAAATGACGATAAAGTGGTAAAAGCATTTGCCTGTTGATCTATCCCAGACTATTGTCTAAAGGAGGTTTCTAAAATCTTTTTTATTTTTTATTTTTATTTTTTGTAGTGCTGGGGATTGAACCCAGGGCTTCCTGCATGCTAGGCAAGTGCCGCTGAGTTATATCCCCAGCCCTTTTTACTTTATTTTTGAGACAGGGCCTCTTTCAATTGCTCTGGCTAGAATTTGTGATCCTCCTACCTCAGCCTCCTGGTTTTCTGGGATTACAGACTCCTGCTACCATGCCTGGATGATTTCTAAAATCTTTAATAAATGTGTGTGAGAGACAGAAAGGAAGTTTTTAACAGAATTTTACCACATTTTATGTTTTTATATTTGTTTCCTGTGCTGGGGATTGAACTCGGGCCTCCTGAAAGCTATGTAAGTGCTTTGCAACTAAGTTAGACTACCAGACACACGTTGTTTTGCTTTTTAAAGTTCTGTTCTGAGAGCTCCACGCCAGCCAATCAGAATTGTCCATGTACTAACGGAGGCGGGGCCGCTAAGGGAGGAGGAAGATGGCGGCGGGGGCGAGGTATTTTTAAAAGAAATAATTCCAGAGTGATGGATGAAATTTTAAAACAAGAGCAGGAACTTCTGGGCCTAGATTGTTCCAAATACTCACCGGGGTTTGCAAATAGTAATGACAAAGATGATCAAGTTTTAAATTGCCATTTGGCAGTGAAGGTGCTGTCCCCAGAAGATGGAAAAGCAGATATTGTGAGAGCTGCTCAGGACTTTTGCAAGTTAGTAGCCCAGCAGCAAAAGAGATCTACAGATTTGGATGTAGATACGTTAGACAGTTTACTTAGTTCAAATGGTTACCCTGATCCTGATTTAGTATTGAAGTTTGGTCCTGTGGACAGCACATTAGGCTTTCTTCCCTGGCAAATCAGATTGACTGAGATTGTCTCTTTGCCTTCCCACCTAAACATCAGTTATGAGGACTTTTTCTCTGCCCTTCGTCAATATGCAGCCTGTGAACAGCGTCTGGGAAAGTAGTGATCCCTGGTTGCATAATTTGATTTCAGGCTTTTGGAGAAAAGGACCCAAGTGACTCTGATGTTTTCAAAGCACCTATGAAATCCTGTGCATACCTAGTTCATATTCCTCATAATTTATCAACAAACACAAAAAAGTGTCTTACTTGAGAGTGAGTGTATGGCGGTGTGTGTGTGTGTGTGTGTGTGTGTGTGTGTGTGTATGGAATTAAACTTATAAATGGGGGAAGTATTGGATAATGAAATATACAGACCTACAACTTTGAGCATATAGCAATGTTATAGGAGCCAAGATTTCAGATATAAAGCTTTGGGCCCCTACTACTTCCCTGTTTTTGTGGGGAGTAGAGGGAGAGAGTGACTAGAACTGTTTGGGTTGTTTGGGGAGAAGGGAATAATTTTTGTTCAGTCTTTCCTAGTGACCAAACTTTAATTTTTTAAAAATAATATATTATTAAATGAAGGTATTCTCAGTTTGAGGGAGTTGCAGGGGAGTGGAGTTCTGTGTTGCTCACTTGTTAAAAGCTTGCTCCTCTTCAGAGGAGAGAGAATATCTATCTTGAGATATCCATCCACTTTCATTTCTTACTTCATTGTAGTTAAACAATGTGACTTGAGAATGTTGCTCTGGTGTCTGTGTTCTGTGTTGTGAAGAACATTTGAAAAGAACTCTTGCTACACTGAAATGCAGAATTTAAAAAATTTAAATGTTGAATTAGGCAGTCAAAAGGGAAAAAAGTTGAATAAGTTGTAATCTTAAAAGTAAACATCGAAAATTTCCTAGAAAAGTTTTGATTTCCTATTTTGTGTAATGAGTAGTATGCTGCATACTATCCAAAGTTGGTTTAAAAAATATTTCCAGTAACTATTTTTATTTAAAATGAGCATTTGAGAGAAATTATCAGGGCAGTTCTTTTCCTTAGTAGTAACCTATTCATCTTTAAAATAACACCTGGGGGCTGGCTGGGGATGTGGCTCAAGCGGTAGCGTGTTCGCCTCGCATGCGTGCGGCCCAGGTTCGATCCTCAGCACCACATACAAACAGAGATGTTGTGTCCGCCGAAAACTAAAAAATAAATATTAAAAAAAAATAAAAATAAAATAACACCTGGGATTTTTTTTTCTTTTCCAGTAAATTCCAGTGGTGACTTTGAATAAAAAATTAAGTAGGATTGAGACCTGTGTGTGGGGAAGAATATTACCAACGTCTACAAAAATAATATAGATTAATTTTATATGTTCTCTTTTATGACAGAGAACTCATTGGTTCTGTTTTTTTAAATGAATAAATGATTTCTTGAAAGGTGTTTAATATTTTCCCCTCACTGCTGATCCTTGGACAGAAACCATACTTTATATTTGATGGACTGTTTTCAGAAAACTCTCTTACAACAAGTGTACAGTAGTTATCTAAAATTGTACTTTTAGAATGGAGTAGTGTAAGTACTAGGTCTCAGAAGTCTGAAAAACAGCAAAGAAGACTGAATTTGGAAAGCATGGTCTGGAATTACTTGTCAGATTCTAAAGTAATGAAGAATAAATGTTTCAACTTTGGATTATAAAACCCCATTTATGATTTTAAAAATACACTTGAAATAAAAATGATTAAACTAAAAAAAAATAAAGTTCTGTTCTGTTGGATGGAACTCTGGAATACATAGATTATTTTTCAGTTCCTTTCAGTGCACTCTTCAAGTTGGGTTAGCAACTGACAGAACTAGTAATATATGAACTAGTTGATGTAGGGAGGCTGGGGCCCCTAGTTTATCCTTAACATTTAAGATTTGTTCTTTCTCTGTTTTTATTTTTTGTAGTAGTGGGGATTGAACCCAAAGCCTCACATGTTAGGAAGTGCTTTACCCACAGAATCTAAGATTCTTTATAACATTTAAAAAATGTTAACCACTGAATATTAAAATCTTGCTGTTCCCTCCTTTTATGCCCTTTTGTTTTAAGATGCTTTAAGATGGATAATTTAGATCACATTGAAAATTTCTCAAAGTGGTCACGTTGTAAGATAAAGTGTCATTTTGTAAGGTGTATGTAAGAATTTGGATTATAATAAGAATATGTTTAAAACCAAGCTGGAGAGGGTGGTACGTGCCTGTAATCTTAGTGACTAGGGAGGTTGAGGCAGGAGGACTGCAAATTTCACAAGGCCAGCCTCAGCAATTTAGTGAGGCCCTGTTTCAAAATTTTTAAAAAAGGACTGGAAATGTAGCTCTGTGATAAAGTGCCCCTGGATTCAATTTCAATCCTGAGTACAAAAAAAAAAAAAAAAAAAAAAAGGAAAAGAATACAACAAATTATTCCTACATGCAATAGTGTTATCTTCAAAGAGCAGACCTGTCTCTGCCACTCTGTACAGCTACTACAGCTACTAGAGTCAGCTTTGTTTAAAAGTCCATATCAGTCTGTTACTAGACAGAAGAGAAATGGTACAGTTGTTTGAACAGGGAACACTTAATACAAAGAATCAGTATTGCTGGGTGTAGTGGAGCATACTTTTGATCCCAGCTACTTGGGAGGCTGAAGCCAGGAGATTTCAAGTTCAAGGCCAGCTTGAACTAGTGAGACCCTGTCTCAAAATAAAAAATAAAATAAAAAGGGCTGGGAATGTAGCTCCGTGGTAGAGCACACCCCTGGATTCAATTCCAGCATCACACACACACACACAGACACAAAAATTATCTGTACGAGGGGGTTGGTATGATCAGGGATTAGCTACTAAGAAATAAAGAGAACTCTAAAGAACACGGCAAAAGTAGATATAACATAACATCGCAAATATAATGTCCTATAATACTCTATTAGCCATTCCACACTCCCTGGGCTGAGATCCAGAACTTGCTGGAGAAGGCTCAGTTGTGGCTCCGGAATGCTGGACAAGTGAACTTGCCAGAAATCTTCACTTTCAAATGCTGGGGAAAGCTGTTCTCAGGGAGATGGCTCCCTGCAGGCACCTGCTACAAGACCACCTGAGAAGGGGTTGGGGGAAGTGGGTGATAGCCTAAAGGTGAAGGGTGTCCCTTTGGAAAAGGCAAGTAGGTAGTTCAGAACAGGAAAGAAACAATAACCAGCTTTTGGAACAAAAGTAAGAGATCAGACATTGAACAGTGAACAGGCGTCTGTGCGCTCTTGGGTGGAGGCAAACACGGTGGTCAAGTCTCCCTCTTCTGGCAGGTTCGCTCAGACACTTAGCTTAGTGTTTGGGGCCCCCCAGCGGGGGAAGCATCTGGCTGGTTTACCTTCATTCTAGAACAGTCACAAAGGTTAGGAAGTTGAACATGCCGAGCAGCAGCAATAGATCAGCCTTGATAAGCAAAACCTCCTGCTCTTGGGCCCAGGCATAGGCTCTCTCTCTCTGCCACCATGGCCATTCCTTTCATGGCCCCAGCCAGTTCTGGAGAGGCTGCTGATGAAACCCGGCTCCTGTCAACTGACTGAGTCGTTTTGTCTACTTGGTGCACGGTGCCTCTCAGCGTTGGATGTTTGCTGGCAGGAATTAACACTTCAATCCAAAGTTCTCAAACCATGTTCTTGTTCTCCATATGCACATCCATGTGTCTTTCTCAATCTTACAATCTCTTCCAAGTCTCTGACCAGATGGTCAGACTGTTGGCCACTGACTGAGCAGATCCTTCATCAACTGAACAGATCCTTCTGTAAGCCAAGCTTGGGCTTTCTCTTCTTTCAGCCAGTCACATGGGACCCTCTCTTTAAGGCCATTTATGTAACCAGGGGAGGATCATTGGTGCATCTGTGGCAGGTGAGAGGGTCACATGGGCTACCTGCTCCTAGAGCTTACTTGTATCCGCTGGCCCTATAGGACTCAATCCTGATGTACCATTTACAATTGCTACTGGGCATGTGTGACTTTATGACCATGTTGAGTCCAAAAGAACTCAGCTTATAAGCAGTCAGTTATGGACACATGGGAAACTGGTGTTTACTGGTCAATGGTGCTATCTCTACCAGGGCCCAGTAACTTGCTAGGAGTTGTTTCTCAAAGAGCATAATACACAGTCTGCCTTCTGTATCCATGATTGCATCCACAGATTTAATCGATCATTGATTGAAAATATTGGGAAAAAAAGTTGCTAGTACTGAACATGTATAGAATTTTTCCTTGTCATTATGCCCTACACAATATAGCATAAGAACTGTTTACACAGCATTTACATCATATTCTTTATTTTAAATAATGCAGAGATGATTTATAGTATATGGAGTCAAGGTAGGTGGTGTGCACTTGTAATCCCAGTGATTCAGGCTGAGGCAAGAGGATTGCAGGTTTGAGGCCAGCCTCGGCAATTTAGCAAGACTCTGTCTCAAAATAAATAAGAACTGGGGACGTAGCTCAGTGGCAAAGCACTGCTGGGTTCAATCCCCAGTGTAAATAAATAAATTGGGAATGTGTGCATAGATTACATGCGAATACTATGCTTTTTTATGTAAGAGACTCGAACATGCATGGATTTTGGTGACCACAAGGGCATGTTGGAATCAGCCGTCCACAGATACTGAGACAAGTGTAATTCTCCCTGTGGATGTCAGTTTTGTTCCAGAATCTCAAGAGCCTGTGCTTGCATCTTTTCTAACCACCTGCCCTTTCAGCATGATAGGGTCTGAAAATCTGATGATCCTAGCAGTAGGGCTGTTTGCACTGTGACCTGGACCAGAAAGCTTTCCTGCTCCAAGCTCCCCATAGAGCTGGGTGAATTCTGTGTCACCAGAGGAGCTGAAATAGTTCTCCTCTATATGGAAGGCCTTGAACTTAGACCTCTGAGTGGACAGTGTTGCCTCCAGAACCCATGCAGCCCTACTAGGTGCCATCCTGCTTTCATGTTTGTGGTAGGAGATACAAGATGCAGTGATTTTTCTTATTTTTTTAAAATTAAAGCTAAATTTTATTTATTTGGTACTAGGGATTGAACTCAGGGGTGCTCTACCACCCTGTGGCAGGTGGTTAGAAGAGGTGCAGAGTGGAGTGAGTTCTGGTGGGAGAATCAAAGCACAACCCCAGTCATTTTCACTTTTTATTTTGAGACAGGGTT